GTGAGCATGCGTGGATTAACGTACACACTGTACAGGCAGTACAGTAGTTGCATATTTCTAAGCTATTCTGCAAATATAATAAAAAGCAAATATGTCCGATATGTTTAAAAATAAATTTCGTGGAATACTTAAAAAYATAAATGTCGAACAACATTATTTCGTCTTACTCCGGCTATGTGTGAGACATGTGTAGTAAAACAACGAGCAAGACATATTTTATTTACATTCAGTTATTTATTTGCTATACATAAGAACGTTATATTATATTATGATACGCACTACTGCGAGTGATGGTAAGTATGGAAATCGCGAGAGATAAAACGAATATAAGTCGGTGATGGCGATGGAGGACAAGGGGAGAGGGGGACGATGATGAGTTGTTAACGCGAATCAGTTTATGAACGGAAAATCATTTTTTGTATTCTGCAGAGATAACCTTAGCGGCGGCGTGGAGGAGTGCGCTGAACCGCAGTTACCCTCGATGATGGCGGACGACGTGTGTCCGTGGGACGTGGTTGACGGTGGTAKCTGCGACAAGAACAAGCGGCCGCTGCCGGCGTCCATAGCCGAAGAACGTGAGCGCAGGCTGTCCACGTCGTCGTCGCGCAAAAACTCGGGCGGTGCGGCGTACGATTCGGCGACGAGCGCGGACGAGAGCCAATCCGATTCGGTGGCCAGCCGTCTGCGGCGGAGCTGCGGTCTGGGCAGCGGCGGCGGCGGCGGCAGCGTGGACAAGCACCGCGGTTCGTCGGCCGCGTGCACCCCGCAACAGACGGTCGACCGGCCGTCGGTGTCGTCGGCCGAGGATTTTGACCTCGGACCGTCACCCGACAGCAGGTCGCCCGAAAAGCAGCCATCAACGTCACCGCACGAACCGGCCAAAGCCGCGTCTTCACTGGACGACAAGTCGAATAGAAAAAAGCTGATGAAATCGCTGTCGTTGGCGAGGAAACAGAGCGTGACGCCCGTCATTAACGTCAGCTCGGTGGACAGGGACAACGGGTGTGACCGRACCGCCGCGGACACCGTCGACGAAACGGCGGCCACCGCGGCCACGGTAGCCGAGTGCGTTACCTCCACTGCCGACACCAAACCTGGTAGCGGAACCGGTCAACCACCAGAAACCGTAGCTTGCTGCAGTGGAACGGAGCCGGCCACTGCGACTGCCACTACGGCCACGTCCAACGTCAGCGAYGGCAACGATGTGTGCCCGTGGGAAGACGAGTGAGTTGAACCCGTTGATCACCTCCTCAGTCCTCCCTGCAGGTATCGTTCCTCTTTCATTCCGAAACAACTTTCAAGTCCTCTCGTCGAATTAATCGAAACCATTTAAAGCATTCCCACTTCAAATTGTTTTGTTTTTTTCAAAAATTCCGTGTTTATGGCGTTAAGTGGTCTATGAGCCGATCGAATCTTTTTTTGAATAAAAATCTCCAAATGATATTTTTAATTATTTATAAAATACCTATGTACTCATTAGAGTACATCATAATCAGACAATTGTTTACGAATCATAAAATATCCGTATTTATTCAAAAGTGTTTTATCGATAGAAGTTAGGGTTTCAAGACTTATAAAAATACATAGTTATAACTACATAATATAACATAATGTATATAATCATAATATAACTCTTGAACTAACTAAAAACATCGTCTGTCTAAATTCTCGCAGTAAAAAAAACAGAAGTTATCTTTCGAAGAAAAAAATGTATATCACCACCGGAAACTAATTTCATTATGCATAAATATTATAGTTCTATAAAAATTTCAAGTATTTGCGAATTCGGTTTTTAATATTTAAATTTTAATTACTACTGTAAAAAAATTCTAAAAAATCGGAATTTGAATGAATCACTGTAATCTATGT